GCAGTGTTTCTCAACCTTGGCGACTTTAAGTCCTGTAGACTTCAACTCCCAGAATTCCCCAGCCAGCTCGCTGGCTGGGGGATTCTGGAAGTTAAAGTCCACAGGACTTAAAGTCGCTAAGGTTGAGAAACACTGTTCTAGTGAGACTACGGACTACAGCTACTACATAAACAACTGTATTATATTTATTGTGCCCAGGGAACAACAGACAAGATGACATTCCTTTATCATGGGCTCTAATGATCTAATTCTTAAAGAAAATACATTTAGAAAACCACATTTCTCAATATTCTCTATTTAAAGAAATGATTTAAAGAAAGGAAGGAAGTGGATGTTTCTATGCATTTTCAACAGTATTATTATACTGTATTTAGATTTTCATAAATAGGCAAAAAATATTTTGGTATTTTCTTCTAATACACAATTTCCAAACTACTTTTGATATTACTTGTGTACATTTGTGGCTTTTTCTGATAATATACATTGGAGATGCTTACTGAGGATTACCCACTCCCTATAATGTTCCTAACTACATTTTTTAAAATAATTCTTTGATCAGAATATTATAAAATATTGTGTTGCCTTGTTTTGTATATTTTATCAATAAAATAAACAAAACTAACAAAATACATTTCCCCTTTTTAAAAACGGTATTTCGAAAAATCTCACTGAATGGGCTAAAAAACCCTGCTTGCCTGGGAAACAGATCCAACGTGCAATAAAGTCTCATGACTTCTATATAATTATATTTAAGAGGAACTGAAGAGGCTGGCTAAGCATTTGCTTTAGCCAACTTTTGTCATATGGGATCATTCGGCTGAGGGGGAATAAGGAAACACTGATATTGGGTATATGAATACAGAACGAGCAGATTTATATTTTTCTCTCAAGACTGCCGAAATCAGCAAGAGCACATACAAAACCTAAAGGTCTAAAATTTTAATATAAATTATGACGTGCTAGAATTTTATTTAGTGACGTCTAGCAGTGGTGGTTGCCATTTAGTGCTGAGTACTTTCTCATAGTGTCCACGAATAGAGATCATAGGGTCTGAGTAAATAATTTGCATCACTGGAAGAAATGTTCTAATATTTGAAGGCCATATTTGTGCACATTGTATGATTCTTCTTTCAAAATATGAACAGAACAGAAAGCACTACAATCAAGGGAATTATAAGCTCCCAGACTAGAAGAAAATGAAATGCAAACAGTAGAAATCATAATAATCATGTTACTGGCAATAATAAGTGAATATAATTAGTACTAAGCAATTTGTTAAGATTTTAAAGCTGCCACAACAACAAAAAAATGTTAAAGCGAATCAACAGTTGCTGTATCAATCTTAGTTCTGCATAAAACTTACACCACTACTTGGAATTTCTCTGCTGTAGGAAAAGAGAATAAAGTGTTTTACTGTGTCAACTATATGAATTAAAATTATCTCAACTGTAAATAAAGCTTAAGTGAAACATCAGCCCTCCAAACATGGGATTAGAGTCCCAATCAGATGAAAAGTAGCCTAAGTGCTCCTAAAAACAACAAAACACTTTTGATTAACCAAAACAACTGAACTAAGTGTCAAGCTGTTTAGATTGATTAACATAAGCAAAAACACAAGTAGAACAAGTTTATAGAAAACCTTATATGTTTAGGAAAACTTTGTAGAAAATGTATCATAACTAATGTATTGGAGGGAAACCACAACAGAGATGTACTTTGTAAACCACACAAATGGCTTTTTCAATCTAATTCCAAACAGTAAAGTAAGAAAACACTTTTTCAGACTCTTCACCACTTAGTGGCACAAAGGAGTTTGAAACTATGGAGCTTAGAAAAGATAAACCTGACCACATAAAGTCAAGCAGATCTTATAGCACGCTCATTATATTCAAATTGCAAAGCAAGTTTATTATTCTGGTTTGCTGCCCACATCCAATCTGCACTATATAAACCATTAACCGTTTTGTTCTCTGGAAATTTCTATTTTACCATATTTAACAGTTGAAGCTCTAAATCCAATGATTAGGCATTAGTGTTAACATCTCAGATGTTCTTTGTTTTTTTAAAGATATATATATATATATATAT